CAAAGATTTGTTATGGTATTTCTAGTGATACCTTTTTTAATGTTGAAAACTTTCTACAAGAGAAGAAACAGCGCTTTACAGTTTCCTCTTCCACAAAAAGAACCAAGTGGAGAGAGAGTCAAGGCTGCTCTAAACAAATAAAATTTAATGAATACGACAGCGTAATCGACCGATTAAAACTTCCAGGTATCAGTTATGACATGAGGAAGTTTTCCAGAGTGTCAGTAGATGGGTGAAATCCGGGGAATTGTTGAAAGATGGTTTAGAGAATTTTCGCATCATCAATTGTCGCCGAAATCTAGAATTTACTATAAAGGCTGTTGTAGGGGTAATATTTATAGCTGGTCTGTCTAACGCCGCTTTCGCTAGTGCGTCAGCTGTTTCATTTAAAGTTATGCCTCTACGCCCCGGTGCCCATTTTAATCGCACCTGGGTTAAGGGATTCGGTGCTAGGGAGTTGAATTCGCCTAATGTTTTCGAGCCACCGGATGCCATGAGTGCACTGCAGACCGACAAGGAGTCTGTTATTATTACGGCGGATTTCATTGATGTTGGCAGTTTTCGAAGGGCCAGTATTATGGCTAAAAATTTTCCAATAAAGATAGGTGTGAAATCTGGAATTTGGAGGACTAACACGAAGACTTCTTTTTCTTTAATCTAAATGAATGCAATGAAAAACAAACTGTTCATGCGTTTTCGGCTTAGTTTTTTATTATTTCTACATCTTTTGTACGCGTATTGAAGCTGAATATTTACAAGATCGATATTTAATTATGTGCTAGTGACATAGTATGCAGAAACTAACACAAAGAACGCATTTCTTTATTTTATTCTTAGAATAAAGAAAGCCTAGAATCATAATATGTGAATTTGACGCATTTGCAGGCTGTACATTGCAATTTGCGCCTGAAGGGGTAGTACGAAGTAAGGCTTGTTGCACTTAAGCGTGCGCCCATGCGAAGTGACAGTTGTGCTGTCCGTCTTTTCAGCAAACCTGAGTGATCAGAGCACAACAGTCACAAAGGTGTGAGTAATTTTTAGGGGCGAAGCTCCATAAAGCGTGGGTCTGTCCATCCCTTGTATGTATGTAGTCGTACGTAGCCGACGGTAGCACATACCCGCTCTAGAGCAGGTATGTGCCACGGGGCATGCTAGATGGGAGATGGCGGTACTTGGAGCGTTCACTAGATGAACGCACGGACCGACGGATGGATAAACGCGTGGACCTACTGATGGACGAACGTACGAACAGGCAAACATACAGAAGGATGGACGGACTGGCGGACGGAAGCAAGAACGAACGGACGGACGGATGGACGGAAGCACGGGCGGGCTGACGGACGCTTCGCCCTATTCGTCATCCATCACTCCGTGGATATGCTGTGTTTTTTTATCCTTGGCAAGATGAGAAGCGTGACTGCAAGATCGGGGTATGATGCTACAACAGAAACGACGCATCCCGCCTTTTTGAAACCCCTATGAGGCTATCTCACTGCAGAAGACAACCAGTTCCTTTCGTCTTCGCTGGAGCCGCACTCGCTCTCAGTACTCACATCATTCATTAGTAAAGAAACAGACGCTGCTGCGGAAGGCTGTGAACGCACTGCACATTTATAGGGGACCAGATGGGTCAGATGCCTGGAATGCCTGGATATTTCTTATCCCAACAACATTTACAGCCACTTAGTGGTTGACACGACAATGTTGACCGCTTAGTCGGGCATCAGTTATACGCAGGGGTTCAGGATGCAAATTGAAAAAAAATAGCACAAAGTATGGAAGGTTGCAGTTTACATCTTCACTATAATGATTATGAAGAGTTTGGTGGATGGTCTCGGAAGATAGCAGATTGTCACGGGTGAAGATGGCTGCTCTTGTCTCGCAGAAATTAATTTCAGACACGTAAGAGCAAGCCGAACTTCGATAGCGTAAAAAAAGTGGTGAAGGAAAGGCTACATAGGAGTCATGCAGTAGATAAATGTCCAATGAACCGAAGGTGGCTACGGTCATTGGATAGTCTCAGTCACATACAGTAAAATCTCAGAGGTACAAATCTAGCGAAGCTGCAAAAATTATTCGTGTCATTCAAATTTGTACCATCTGAAAACGTGACAAATCAATATAAGGCAACAGAAAAGTCGCGTATGTTTTTATTCAGTTTATTTTCAGTGCCGCAGCAACATCTTGAGCACCTGTGAAAAATTACCAGTAAAGTTTACAGAATCAACGATCATACTTGCTCTAGTAAATAAAGGGTGCTTGTGCGGAAGCATATGCCAATGACCCGTAAAGCTAGTAGCACCTTCCCTATCTGATAACACTTTTCTGCACACCAAAATATGGCGGAAAAGCAACGTATGGACCGTTGCGCACAGTATAGATAAAGACCAGAAGATTTAAATCCACTGTTCTTCGCTATTCTCTTATCGCGATGGTGCTGAGAATCTTTTTATGGATGATTGTTTAAAATCCGACTCTCTCGTACAAATAGAAGAATTGGCTGCTGAGCACGTCCTATACAACCCTGCATGTTCACGTTGCGAGGGACACACAGTGATTTGGTGGTTAGCGTCGCGCACTGAGGAGCTCAAAGTTGCTGGTTCGATGCTATGCTGTGCAACTTTTTCTTCTCATTTTTTTACAATCTGTTAGTAAATAGTTTACAACATGATATTTATGACGGAAATACGTCGCGCAGCCGTGGTGGACTCCGGCATAAAACACTTGCGTGTTGAAAAACGTCATCTCTGGGAGTGAAGGTGTGGCATAGAGAAAGAGACAGAGGTAGATGAAACTTTGGTTTTCGCAGCAATAAAGACAAGCGCGCAATTACTGTAATGGCCTCACCGAAGCCCCTTCTCCTCACACAGTGGCCAGACATTGAGCCTTGCATGGGCCACCGGCAATGTGGACTGCCCTGCGATTGTCACTTCGGTACTCGCTCGGTAGCATAGCCTGACATTCCTCGCGGCTTTGTTAATTTCAAATGTAGGGTAAATGGTGTTGGTTTTATGATGTTCGAAGTTGTAGGAGTCAGCCAGATAATGTGAGCGAGGTTAGCGCATGGCGCCCCGGACTCCTCGCATAAAGGTGCAGAAGTATTCAGGTAGACTCCATGATTGATGGCGCTCAAACGAAGCACTACCATCGGGAATAGCACAGCAAAAGCGGAAAGGCGTGGCATCGGTGGCACACCATCGTTGGAAAAGCTTGCCTGATTTCCGAACAATGCAGATAATTGGTGACAACCACCATCACATATTTTCAAGGATGATAGGCGTGAAATATCAAAGTAATTCTGTGCTTAGTTGTAAAAAAAAGGCCAGAGTTAACGTCACCCAGCTTAACAGCTCAATATTCCGGAATGAATAGCGCTCAAAGGCTGCAGAGTTAAATTGTACAGAACGAAAATACGCTCTGAATTTAAAACTACATCCATAAGACACATCATTCTTCAAAACAAAGAGGCGAAGTGTGTGGTTCTAGTGTGGCCTGATAAAGAGACCACTGATAGATTATACACGATCGAAAGTCGGTAACCTTCATATAACAAGTCGTATTGACCATTGGGTAAGTTGTGGTGAAGGCGTTTATGGTAGTATGTCATCAACTAAGATAGTGAAAAGCCAGTTTTTGTCCTGTAGCTATTCTCATAATTTGTCCCACAAATACAGTTTTTTTAATTCCTACTTCATGTTGATGCTTCCCGGAAGGTGTTATAGCAAAGATCGTGAACAACAGGCATTCGGTTACTGAGGATTCAAAAGCTTTTGCCGTCAATGATGGGGTCAACCTCTTTTATAAGCAGAATGAAGTAAAATCAATTTTATTAGCGCTTCAATTCACTCCGATACAAACAGGAGTTGGCTAGCGCAGGCTAATGTGCTGCACAAGCTACGCTATCACATGGCATGGAATCGACCAACCAAGTAGCTTCAATTTAGACAAACTTCAGGTTAAGCAGACATATTATAATTCTTTCATTATGCGGTCTAATACAAGTACCAAACAGTAATTTGGCAGCGCGGCGTGGAGGCTTGATAGGGACATCAAGGTCATTTAGCAGAGTTTGGATTTATAGAAGCTTTCCGAAAAAAAGGAAGACTGATGCCACGTCATACAGACAGTTTTAAGTGTTGCTATGCTTAACCGTGGTGTGTAACAGTTGAGGCGCATGAGGCTTGCAGTTGTTACACATGCTAAGTTCGACCAGTTGAGCAAGCTGATGAAATCAAGAGGTTGTGATGTGTTTAGCAAAAAAAAAAAATTGCACACATACTCGGGCTTACGTGGTGCGGTGCAGTTTTTTTGCACCTTCAGGATTGATTCCTTCTATCTTGGACAACGTATGCGGTGTTTACGGGTATATGAGGCGGTGAGATGCCAACAATGTGAAAAGCAATTTTCCAGGAGAAGTATGTAGCAATACTATGTCGGTAAACTAGCTGAAAACGGAACAGTCTTTTGATAGTCTTTCCATCGCGAATCTAATTTTACGCGAGTTTTGCTTGACTATTTTTTGCCGACTGGAGCTGTATTACATACACATCGTCAAACAGCGTTCAACGCCCCTTCTCAGTTTCTGGGTTTGTGATAATAAACACAACAAGTCTAACTCAGATCATGGTAACCACGTTAAGACGACCAAGTGTTGCATCGGCCGCGTAGCTACTCCTAACCGTGGTTAGCATTAACCGTTGTCAGCTTAACCTTGGTTAAGACTGTCCATGATAAAGGTATATAAGAGATGATTAAGGTTGCTTTTGAAGTTTGATGTAAAAAAATAACGTTGTTGAAGTCCCGAGGGCATGAATATCTTTCGAAATCTTTGAAAACCAGACTCTTTAGTGCATTCGGCTGTGTAAATTTAAAGGCATCGTATAATCATGAGAGAATAGCTTGCACCTAAAACACTTAAATACCGCATCGTAGAGCCTCCTGTAGAGCGCAAAAGTCCGTGACTGTGGTTTTCATGTTACCCGTTTTTTTGTTGCAGTTTTTTTCCACGTCAGAGCCAATATGGACGCACACTACTACAGGAAAGACCAACCTAAGGTGTTTAGTGGACCAGGTTAATGAAATGAAGCAGCAATTCATTATCTACACACGATCGTGTTACAACAAAGAATATAAGTAAGATTCTAGGTGTGCGAGATAAAATTTGAATATCAATATAAACTTCTGCATTTACAGGGTGTCTCGGATATTGTACGGAACATTTTATGAGCACCGAAGGAAACACATGGACGTAAAACCCAAAGGTTTGTGTCTGTCGACTTTACTCTTCATTTGCATTATCCAACTTCCAATATCTTGTTGAATTCATTCGTTTTTAAATGCCAATGCATTTCCTACACGGGATATGCCAGACGTCCGTCCAAATCCATCCACCGCCCTCTCCCATAGCAACAGCGGTAGGCGCGCGCGTCCCTAGCAACAGGAGCCCCCACCATGTCACGCTACGGCGTCGGCAGCTGTCGGCAACAGGTGTGGTCCCACACGCTTATTTTAACAGTCCACTCTAGCTACCAGAGCTGGAAACGCATACCGCGTTTCTCACTACAGAAAAACGTCATGGTGGGGAACTGCGCTATTGGCTGCATGGTGCAAGTAAAAAAATAAAACATTTTTCTAATGCTGGCTTCACACGTGCGAAACGCCTTTATGGACACCACGCAATGCATTCGCATTTCCTCACAATTCCCTTCGGGGAGGTGGGGTCAATTTTTTATAGTAGCGTAATATTTACAGCCCCGTACATTGCATGGATTGTAATTCTACAGTCCACGTACGACGTTTGTCTAAACTGTAATACGTACTGCAGTGTTTTCGCATCTGTGTTCCACTGTGTCATTGTTGCTAGACAGCTGTGTGTGTTTCCGCATCTATGCGTCTGTATATAACACATCAGGCTTGCGTATGTGCGTGTGCGTGTGCTTGCGTGCGTGTGTGTGTGTATGTTTGTGTGCGTGCGTGTGTGTGTGTGCGTGTGTGTGTGTGTGTGTGTGTGTGTGTGTGCACGCGCGCACACGCGCGATATTATTTTGCTGTTTAATATAAGCACTTTAGGTAAGCTGTTCCATGACATTAGTTATTTTACAACCTTTTAATATGCGTATTGTTACAAAAACGGATGGCGTTATGAACAAGCTCTGTTTTGGTAACGTTAGCTTTCAATTGTCGCCTTGCGATCAGAAACACGCAAATCTCTCTACCAAAGTACTTACGCCTTAAACCTTATGATTCTAATGCCACCGATGTGGACGCTATTATAAAGAAAGTTCAGGTCTATCTCGCTATGTTGCCTTCATATATGTTCTTTGCTCCTCAGACAAACCCAATACATGCAAATACTCGAGCGTGCTATGGAGGAACTATTTCTCCTTACACTTAGGGAGCGACTTCGCATCGCGGTGATGTGATCTGAGAGCAGCAGGGTTGACAGGCGGGTTATTGGTACAAATTCATAATCCTCTCGTTTCTGGACGACACCTGATCATGGTGGAACCTTCTCTCCGGTTGTTTCCCTTTCTCATCTTTCTGGTATTTCTTCTCCGAATAAACTGAGTTTCAGTCCGCGCTTGTTTGTTTCTTCTATTGTGTCCCGTTGGTTTGCGCTTCCAATTATTTCATTATGATTTTAGAGCACTGGCTGCGCAAACTGACTCAACAAGGAACTTTACCGGCCAGCTTTCCACCATGGCCAAGAATAGCTGATTAGTGGTTGTTAAGACGTTCAGTACTGCGAGTCTTGATGTGATAAACGAATGTCACAACATCCGACGCTGTTTCAACTGGTTCAAATGAGCGTCAATTTTTAGAACTGGGTCGCCGCTTGCAAATCGCGGAAGCAGCTGAAACTAACATAAACACTCCCTCGATGTGCTGTAGAGGCCATCACCAACCGTAAGAAAAATTTATGAGACCAATACGACCAGTAGCAATATATTTCCGAACCATTCATCACATTATTTCCTACTACTCTTCGCCCAATCTTCATTTTTTAATTTGTCGGCCATGATACATCTAGTAGCTCAACGATGCATTATTTGTTGGACGTCAACAGCTCCAGTAGCCACATCATTGCATAAAACAACGTCTCTGTGGAACTATTGTGCATATACCGCTATTCCGCCAGTTGCCAAGCATGCTACGGCAACAGGTAATGGCTCGTGTTGCTGTCACGATCTCACTACGCCAAGCGCAATATCTTCCACATCATGCTCAGTGAGTGGCTTCACCATCGAGGAGTGATAGTATGGGCCCTTTATTGGCTCAAAGGTCTCTTTGTTAACAGACAGTGCTTGTGTCTCTGTTTTCTTCTATCGTCCGTGTTTCGTTTGGGCTGGCCCTCACGGCCATTTTCCATCTCGCACAATTCATTACCCGCTGACATCTCAAAAAGTTCGTGTGCTTCTACGATCCTGAGCACCACGCTTATGTCATGCTACAACAGTAAATTCACGGACCGATTTGCCAATAAACAAATTTCTATGCACTTTTGTCGACCAATGTATGCTGAACTTGAAAAGAAAATCGCGTTTTGTTCAAAAGATAACGGGGACACTTTAGTGACTTTCCATACGTTTAAGAATTTGAAAGAGATTGTGTGAATTTCTGTAAAATGGTGGAATTTTGTCAAACTTTGCGATATTTTTTTTTTTGAAGAGCGATATCAGTCCATGTACAGCCGTGAGCAAGCTTTACACGAATGCTAAGCAGCGTGTTCTGAAACTGTTTGATTGACGCTCGTGTAACGAGCGACCACCACCGTCAAGAACTGTTTTATTACCTGTGTGTGCTCCAGACAACTTCTGAAGGGCGATTTTGCATGTACGGTGGTTGGGGGAAGTATTGGTTAGGCCACCACTGTATATTCTCGGGTATATTCTGGGTATATTCTCAAACTATCATTGCAGGTGTAAAGGGTGCCCTTTACGTGAAATATGCACCAATCAGCTCTGCAGCGGATTGACGAGCGTCGTGTAACTCTGGCTTCTCTTGCCGACACGTTATTCTTGCATGTCGCATACTATCCAAGCATACCGAAGTATTTTTTGGCAACGATGGCCGGGGCTTTGTGGCTCGCATGAGACAAATCAGTACAGGTCGTGCGTCTGAGCGTTTGTGTTAATCTTCACACCGACTGTACACCTGTCACAAATAAAGAATTCGAAATATAGGCTCTCATTGTTACATTCGCGTCTGTTCAATGTGACATGTTTCTGTAATATGTGCAGCGTTGGCAACAAATTGAAATTCCGTCATGGAGCAAATGTGACAGACGTAGCTGTAACATTACAATTCAGCACATTTTAAGAAAATTCAGGCACCCTGATTTCATATATGTGAATGTTATAGGGCTATGTAAGTGTTTAAGGCTTTTGTTTTAGGATCACGTGAGATTTTATGTGTGTCAGTTTAGATTAAAGTTGATGGTGGCACCAGCGTTATTGCAAAACAAGATTAGATAATCAAGTATAAAGCCGCAGTTTTTATATCAATTAGGCTATTAACATATGCAGGATACATCTTCAAATATTTAGGTACTTAACTGATAGAAGCGGTCTTTCCTTCTTGATTTACTACAATTTTCAAATATTCCATTCACTGTGTTTTGACAACGTGCTATTCATTGTTTCGTTTATAGGCAAGGGCGTCAGCTTCCAAGAGGATCTGCTCTATGTGAGCGGTGACAAAAGCTGTGCAGTGATTATGGTCACGACCAATGTTGGCGGTAGGCTTCTGTGTTTTATCACAATATCTTGACAGGATAGCTGCCGTCCAAAATCATTCTAGGCTCAATGTCTTCATCATAACTAAGCAATCCACCCAAATTTTACTTATCCCATATTTTAGAAGCCTAAAATTGTTGATGAATGCAAAACAATTCCGACAGCTGAATAGCGTTCCACGTAATTTTGCCATTTTCAGTAGAGCTTGTGCGGTAACTCAGGGCTTCTAATTAAAAATGCAGTGCCGCAGTTACAGATGTATGCTCGTACGAATTAGCAATTTTCGTAACGCTTGTACGCAAGGAATTCTTATGCGACAACGGAATTGGTTTTACTTGCTACACTGTATACGCTTAACTAGCTTCACCGCGGTGGTCTAGTGGCTAAGGTACTCGGCTGCTGACTCGCAGGTGGCGTGATCGAATCCCGGCTGCGGCGGCTGCATTTTTGATGGAGGCGAAAATGCTGTAGGCCCATGTGCTCAGATTTGGGTGCGCGTTAAAAAAAACCATGGGTGGTCAAAACTTCCGGAACCCTAAGCTACGGTGTCTCTCATAATCATATAGTGGTTTAGAGACGTTAAAGCCCACATTTCAATCATCAACTACGCTTAACTAAGACGTCCAAGTTTTGAGATGACACGTATCGTCAGTTTTTGCCGTTTGTGTGATCGTTAGCTCAATCGCACCAAGTACGGCGGTATAGTGGACATGATGTGCGATGGTACACCTTATTACCTCCCACTGCACCGTCTGCATCCTTGCGAAGTTGGTATTACGTGTGAACTAGGAATCTCTGTGAGTTCATATCTTCGTAGTTTGACTCTGACGCATTATGATTGATAGATCCACGAATCTTTTAACATTTTCCTGCGCCTATCACCAGACCATAACCGCTAGCATAAAATAACATTCTATGGCTGAAGAATACTCTCTTACCTACTGAACGACAGTGTCAACCAATTTTGCGGTTTTTAATGTGACGCTGCTCTTTATTTTAAACAAGCCATGTGTCTGGGAAGAGCATTACTAAAGCTCTGCTGTGCTGAATTATCAGCTATCAAAGGAGGTGATTGTTGTTCTTAATCAACGAACGCCATGCTTAGCAGTCTAAAATATGAAAATAAAGCTTGTTGCAGTCAATATCTGATGCGAACCAAGAAACGTGCTCTGCTACAGCTTCAGAGAAAGAGTACACGAATTGCCAGTGGCTATGTCCCACCATTGCGCTATCATTATGAAGTATTATGAAGTATTATGAAGCGAATGAAATGCTAAAAAAAGCGATGTGGTTCTTTGCGCATTGAGGTACCTTTTGAAGATTAGCAGGAGCTCGGCTTTAAGCACAATTCCGCCTTCATTTATGAGGCCAATCTTTATAGAATAATTGCTATGGCTAATGTCACCACACAATTTATGTTCCTTGTGCTATAATATATTAGTGATGCCGTAGCATTCAGGGAAACATTTCTTGAAGTAAGCGAAGCACCCATTAGCAAAGATATTTATTTTATTTATAAAGTACTGCATGCCATGAAAATAGCCCAAGCAGGAGCGGGAGGTGGTACAACAATGAAATGACCAATTATTAGATGTACAGGTGTAGAGAAAGAAGAAAACAAGAAAACAACAACGACAGAAAAAATAAATCAGACAGACGTAGAATATATTCGCGGGTTACATAACTCCCACTTCGCACTGATTTTCTAGAGATTTATTACATTTGCAGACACAAAAATATGGTGCGGCAGCTCGTTCCAGTCTGTTATTGTGCGAAGGAAAAAAGAGTACTTGAAGTTGCTAGTGCGCGCAAAGGTAGCTGTAAATTTGTAAGAATGGTATCCTCTAGTAGGACGTGAAGATAAAACAGTGAGCACGTGCGAAAGGTCTATGATAGTGTTTTTCTTAGATAGGTTAAAAGGAATTTATTTCTAGCTAGATTTCTTTGGGATTCTAAAGTTGGAATATTGTTAATAATTATTAGTTCTGTCGGGGAGTCAGACTGGGGGAAGCAGTGCTGAACTGAATGTCATACTTAGGCTGCTATATGGATAATTAGACATTCGTCAAAATGCGATTGTGATAACGGTATTAGGAGGCGCTGTATGTATGCAGTAAAAGACAAGCCAACGCGACGGTTTTATCTTCACTTAATTTATTCTTCACGCAAATCGTGCGCATTGGCAAGGAAAAGATGCAGCGTCCATCAAATTTTACAATAGCATTGATTGCGGGATTGATATGAGGTGTTTAACGTCCCGAAACCACGATTTCAGAAACGCGGTAGTGGAGGGCTCCACGAATTTCGACCGCCGGGGGTTTTATAATCTTCTCCCAAATCTGAGCACACGGGTCTACAGCACTTTCGACTCCATTGAAACTGCAGCTGCCGCAGCCAGGATTTCATCCCGGGACCTGCGGGTGAGCAGCCGAGTACCTTAACCACTAGATCACCGCGGCGGGTCTATCTGCAATAGGACGACTTTCGTGTATGCGTATAATAATGGCAGGTATTGGGAGAGTGCTACGCAAGCCTAATTAAGTTTTTTTTTCTTTTCACTAGAAGTTTATCTTTAAAGGGAACGCTGACATTTTTTAACTAGTGTACTCATATTTCTCACTCAACCTCTTTCAGTTAAAATTCCAATTTCAGTTAAAAATTCACATAACAAGATTTAGGCGAACTCACGACAACATTAAAGTAGATTTGGAAAGCTTCACAGGCCATAGAATTGTACAGCAAGTCTTACCGAGAAATTCATTGAATTTGCGATTTTGTCAGTGACAGGAGAACAGGCACATTTTAGGAAGACTTTTATTATTTCGTTGTGACTACTTTCTCACATATAAAATTGCATATCACCTGCAATTGCATTCTACAGCACTGCAGGCAGAATTCAAGTGATGAATCAGAGACCTCAGTGGTGCCACTTTGAACTATATAATATTCGATTGCTCGTCGGTACTCTCATACATAGCGCGGTAGAACTCAGTGTTATGAGAATCAGTAACGAGTATACCTCTGTGTACCACAGGTGAAATAGAATTATAGGTAGATTGATGTATGAACAGTTGCACTTTGTAGATTGTTGTTTGGCGGCTATAGCGCAGTTTCGTGTAAATGTGCCCTTGTTAACGTCTAGTGGCACAGTTTCTTTACGACGGCTTACAAGCAGGATCATCATTTTACACTTCTAGCAGCTAAAGTACTTAACGCACAACTGGATTCAGCATATTCTGAATCAAGAGCAAATATGCCAAGAGAAAGCATATAGCGCTAGATACTTCATATAGACTGATTACAAGCGTCTTAAAAGGATGTAGTGACAGTGCAACCTAAAAGTAGTTACTTCCTAGCTACGGAAGCGAAAAACAAGGACAGAAAAGAGCGCTGACTTTCAACAAATATTTATTATCGGAGTGGTGTACATATACAGACGAAAAAAATGAAAAAAATTGGCCATGCCATCTATTTTCCCCTCTAAATGTACACCACTTCATATTAAATCTTTGTTGAAAGTCAGCGCTCTTTTCTGACCTTGTTTTTTCGCTTCTGTAGTTACGAAGTAACTACTTCTAGGTTGCGCTGTTCCTACATTCAGTTATGCCCTACCAATTTGCCCAAGTTTTCACGCACCGTAAAAGAATGTCAGATGAAAGTAACGGAAGTGGGTACATTCACAAAGACCTAAAATGTTCTTTTACAGCTAAACGCGTCACGTATGATGTTCGAGTTAGGAACTCTCACATTCGATGGCCGCCACACCATAAATGCCTCCATGTATACGAGAAGTTCGAGATGCATGGACAAGTTTTGTATGACCCAAGTTGCCAAGGTATACTAGCCAAATCGGCAAATTTGAAGGTGTAAGAACCACAACGTGATCGCTGTGAAAGTCAAGCAGTTTTTTTTTTTTTGCATTAGCCATAATGACAAATGCTCATATTGCCAGTGTGCTATAAAAATGTGGAATTTTCTCTCTCAACCCATTAAAACATTGTCGTCCCTTACTGCGTTTAAAAAAACACATAGAGCTCATTTATCGAGCCAATAAGTAATGACAGCGTGTACATCGTTCTTTTAGCGCTCTTTTTAATTTTTTCCTGTTTGATCACATAAAAACATTACCTAATTGCGTTGTTTCTCGTCATGGTGGCTTTCGCTGCATGTTGTCATTGTCAGAGTGAACTTGTCTTTCTTTATTTCAGTATTTGACAAATAAAAAAAACAGTTATATTTACTAACTTCATCTGAATAACGTTTCCACCCGTCTGGGTTTTTTATTATTTTTATCTTGGTTGACCTGAATATTTTGACATTTTCGAGCATATTTCGCAGTTTGTATCTGGTAATACTGCACAGAGGTTCTGGTATGGTTCGCTGATCTCGGGACCCTCTTCTGCAAATCCTTCAAGCTGTAACAACGCTATTCAACATAAACTTTGATATTATTCTAGTTAAGATGAACTGGTTGCGGCCTGTCATGTGAAATGTCTTGGCATAAAAATTCGGAGACAAGTTCATGCTGTCTTGTCTTCTCTCTCGCGTGCCCGTGCTTGTACGCCTAATGTCAGCGTGAGTGAAAACACCTTAAATGTGGTTGTTCGGCCACGTTTTTTGTGCTCGCGATTTTTTTCTCTCTATTTTTGGACTCGTAAACTGTCAACATTCACCAAACAATGCTATTATGAAACCACCCAGGCCTTATGCGTAAACGACATTCTTAACCGTAATCGATGTTTCTCTAGTTTGTAGAATATTCTCGGAAAATAATCATAATTGAATACTACGGCTCAAGTGTTTTTTGGCTATGGATACGGGTCGCATTGTTTGATTTTGTTGTCTCCAATAAAGAGTTCACAGCCAAGACATGTCATCAGGTGTACTGTCTTTCTTATAGTTTAAGAAGTGGAGAAGACTTTTCTGGACATATTGACCCCCATCTGTTTTCGGATTCCTGACCATCTATTAAGCATTATACTTTGATTAGTTTTATCGTTGAAGTTGATTTAATAGTTGCTAACCACACATTTAATTTTTGGAGTGCGTGTGTAGCGGAAGCTGCTCAGCACCACCGCATTCTTTTCTATCCCGTCTGCAGCCGGCCGTCGACAGCGCGCCTACTCGCGGCGCCAGCACCTCCTCCTCCGTGTTCGGGGAACAACGTGTTGTCGGGGCCGGCTCCGGGGATTAGCACCGGCGTCATGCTACGTCTGCTCGCTCGGGGCCCCCTTTTCCTCTTTCTTGTAGAAGAACGCGGGGGTGCCTCCTTCTCTCCCTCGTCGAGGGGAACTCTTGTCACTCGCACGGAGTGGAAAAAAACAGTCTTGCTCTGCAACTCCAAACCAGCTTCACGTCTCCTTTCTCGCTGCCTCCAGCAGCCGACATTCCCGGCCGCTACAAAATTGGTGACCCGAACGCTTCAACGAACACGCCGCGATGAGCTCCGACGACAACGCTGCTGCCTCCACGCCTGCCACAGAAGTGAAGCATCGCCACAGAAGTGAAGCTACCAAATTTTTGGCCGAAAAATCCAAGAGTTTGGTTCAGCCAAGTGGAGGCCCGTTTTCAGCTCCGGCACATCACCTCGCAGTCGACAAAATACCTTCACGTCGTCGCAGCCCTGCCCCCCGAAATCACCGACGCTATCAACGACATTTTAGTTTCACCCCCCACGCAAGAAGAATATGACACCCTCAAAAAGACGGTGCTGGACCGCCTCGAGGCGCCTGAAGAAAGCAGACTGCAGCAGCTCTTGTGTCGCGAAGAGCTGGGCGACCAACGACCTTCCCAACTGCTGCACAGTATGCGGTAAGTACTCGGTGTGCACGCGCGTCAGGACGGCCAGCTCCCACTTATTCGTGAACTTTTCCTGCAACGGCTCCCCCAGTCGGTGCGCGTGGTTCTCGCGGGTTCAAATGAGACGTCCCTTGATCGACTAGCGCAACTTGCCGATCGCATCACGGAATACTCAACTGCAACCTTTGCGCCCATAGCTGCTGCAAGAACACATGAGCAACCAGATCGACTGTCGCGCCTTGAGGAGAAACTGCAACACCTTACCGAGACCATGCAGAAATTTGTGCTATCTGGCGCTCCCCAACAGGACGAGCAACGACGCAACCGATCCCCTTCAAGACACCCAAGCTCATCGCAGAGAAGCCATGCACGAGATACACAGGACGGAGTTTGCTAGTACCACCGTGGTTTCGGCATGGGTGCTAGCCGCTGCACTCAACCTTGCTTGTTTCCGGGAAACGCTCCGGCCAGTCGTTAACGGCGGCTTACGACATCGGCCCTCCACCCAGCCGCCTGTTTTTCGTAGTCGACCGCGTAAGCAACTCGCGCCTGCTAGTCGACACGGGAGCCGAAATCTCTATTGTCCCGGCAACACCCGAGGATCGCCGACGTAGCAAGAACACATCGTCGCTGCAGGCAGTGAACAACACTGCCATCGCTACGTACGGCTTCCGCTCGCTGACAATAGACGTCGGACTCAGGCGCCTGTTTCGTTGGGTCTTCGTGGTGGCGGATGTTAATTTCGCCATGCTCGGAGCAGATTTTCTCAGCTACTTCAACCTGGATGTGAGCGTACGTGACCGTTGCCTCAAGGATAACACACATCCCTCAAAGTACGTGGTTTGGAGTCAAACATCTGCTCATCTGGCATCTGCGCCTTCCAGCCAGTATCAGCCTACCACCACGTGCTGGCCGAATTCCCCTCGCTCACCAAGCCCAGCAACACGGAACAGCCGGTGAAACATAACGTGACTCACCACATCGTCACCACCGGGCCGCCAGTCACCGCCCGGCCACGACGGCTGTCCAGCAAAAGGCTTCAAGCTGCACGCAGGGAGTTCGAGCATATGCTGCAGCTGGGAATTGTTCGCCCTTCGTCTAGCAACCATTCATCGCCGCTACACATGGTGCCTAAAGACGACGATTGGCGCCCGTGTGGTGATTACAGAGCCTTGAACGCATCGACAACACCAGACCAGTATCCTCTGCCACACATTCACGATTTCAGCGCGCAGCTGGCAGGTACGAAAATATACGGCAAGATCGACCTCGTAGCGGCATACCACCAAATCCCGTCGAACCGCAGGACATACCAAAAACAGCCATAACAACTCCGTTCGGCCTGTTTGAGTTTGTCCGCATGCCCTACGGCTTGAAAAATGCCGCACAGACCTTTCAAAGGTTCATGGATGAGGTCACCCGGGGTCTTCCTTTCATCTTTGTCTACCTGGATGACATTTTGGTGGCCAGCAGAACGCCTGCGGAGCACGAAGAGCACCTCCGCCAGCTGTTTCGGCGTCTGTATGAGCACGGTCTGTTGTTGAAACCTCAAAAGTGCGTGTTTGGAGTAGAGGCGCTCAACTTCCTCGGCCATTACATCACTGCTGAAGGCATTATGCCATTGGAATCGAGGGTGGAATCTGTCAAGAAGTTTCTAGCTCCAACATCTTTTCGCAAGCTGAGGGAGTTCCTCGGGCTCTTAAACTTCCACCGGCGGTTTATTCCGTCTTGTGCACGAGTGCTCCAGCCATTGACCGACCTGCTGCGCCGAGACGACCAAAAGGCACCAGAATTCTGTTGGTCTGACGAACAACAGAACGCTTTCCAGAAAGCTAAGGACGAGCTAGCCGCGGCTACCCTCCTCATTCATCCACGGCCTGAAGCTCCTACATGCCTCATGGTGGACGCTTCCTCCACATCGGTCGGAGCAGTGTTGCAGCAACAGGAGGGCGCCCAGTGGAAGCCACTGGGCTTCTTTTCGAAGCGTCTGAAGCCTGCAGAAGCACGGTACAGCACTTTTGGAAGGGAGATGCTCGCAATCTATTGTTCCATTAAGCATTTCCACTACTTCCTCGAAGGCCGTGAGTTCTACATCTTGACAGACCGCAAGCCCCTCACCTACGTATTCAACAACAACAGTTCTTCCTACTCAGAACGAGAGATCCGTCAGCTCTCATTCTTCTCCGAGTTTTCTACAGACATCCGCCACGTTCCCGGGGTCGAAAACGAAGCAGCTGACGCCTTCTCTCGCGTCAACGCTTCTGGCACAGAAGTCCTGGACTTCGAAGCTATGGCCGCAGCTCAGCGGGACGACCCCGAGTTGACAAGACTGAAGGGAGGGGGATCTTCACTCGCGCTCTCGGAGGTTGCACTTCCCTACGTCCAGAGCACGATAACCTGCGATACCTCCCAGGCAGCACCACGACCTTTCGTCCCACTGAACTTTCGCCGAGTGGTATTCAACACTTTCCACTCCATCAGCCACCCAGGTGTCCGCGCCACCCAGCGGCTGATAACGCAACGCTTCGTTTGGCCCGGAGTCAACGCAGACGTGCGACGATGGGCTCGGACATGTAAAACGTGTCAGCAAGTGAAAGTGACTCGCCACAATCGGGCTGCACTACAGGAATTTCGGACTCCTGAGTCGCGGTTTGACCACGTTCACCTCGACCTCGTGGGACCACTACCGCCCTGCCAAGGATTTAGGTACCTGCTCACATGCATCGACAGGTACAGCCGGTGGCCCGAAGCTATACCAATTGCGGACATATCAGCTGAGACCGTCGCGCAGGCCTTGATTCAAACATGGGTGTCCCGCTTTGGCTGCCCCGCCCGCATAACAACTGACCGGGGACGGCAATTCCAGAGCAACCTCTTTTCCGCACTTTCAACGCTCCTCGGCACAAAGCTGCAGTATACAACCACCTACCACCCCGCCAGCAACGGAATGGTTGAGCGCTTCCACCGGCAACTCAAAGCCGCACTGGCAGCGAAACTCGACCGCCAGCACTGGGTGGAGAAGCTCCCGCTCGTTATTCTTGGCCTGCGCTCAACGGTGAAGGAAGACCTCGGCTTCAGCGCAGCGGAAATGGTCTACGGCTCAACAGTGCGACTCCCGGGAGCATTCTTCTCCGACCAGACACCTTCTGCCCCAACAGCCTCCGATCACATCGAGAAGCTGCGTGCATGGCTCGCGCAACTCAGGCCAACAAACAGCACCTCGCATCGCCCCCAACAGGAAAGTTTTCAC